GGCCCGCCTTCGGTTGGGTCTGAAAGCGACAGTTGTCATGTTCAATCTTCGCGGCGCCACTGCCGAAGAACTGTTGGTCATTTTTTATAAACTATGTAGGCCTATGGAGGAGCACCGAAAGACTTGGAATTAAGTTAGAAATTCACAGAATACACGTCAGCAACCGTTCCTATTGCCCAAATACAGCTTTCGTCGGTCTTATTCTTCCCTTACGTCTTTGTGCGCTCTCTAGGCGATTTTCTTAGGCAATGTACTCTGATGGCGTTTTCTTTAACAGCAGTCTAGGATTAAACAGCTATTGATGTTTCATTTAAGCGTACCAATCTCCATGGTAAAGCAGTACTGATCTATGGCTAGCCTCGTCTTCACTGTCTAGAATGTGATGTTGTATTAGCGCTATTCATGAACTTAAGAACATGTGCATATCTACTCATACATTCTACTAAGTTCTAGTCCTAGCGGAAAGGACTTCTATTCTATTCTTTTGTCTTTGGGCTATGAATTGAGCCTGATGCTAGCCATTGCTTTCTTTCCTTTTGCATTCTTTGTAGTGTTGATGGTTACAGATACTTTGAGTGTCCACCCAAGTACGGCGCCTTTGTGAAGCCGCATTTCGTAGAGGTTGGCGACTTTCCGGAGCTTGGTCTGGACGACCTGGATGAAATATGAGTGATTTCGTTCCATTCTTATCTTCTTCTTTCCTGTGTCGTATTTCACTCTGTCTGCCTTCGGTCACATTGTTCGTGCTATTCGGCGGTACATTGATGTCCTTCCGCGTGCCGTTAGTGATTTGTTGCAGGATCTACTTGTCTTTATTTCGCTGCAGAACCAGTGTTTTCATGACTCAGGAGGAAGGAGGTTTAGGTGGGCAGAGTGGTCGTCAACCTACTGAGTAAGAAGGGAGGTAGGGGAGGGAGGACAGGCCGGCATCTAGTTCGGGTCAGGCGTAGTGGGGTCTACGGGTGTGCTGGTGTTCTTGTCGGGCGTGGTGCGAGCTGTAGTTCTGCCCAGCACTTGCTGGGGGTAAGGGGCTGCGTCGCTGGATGGCGTTTAAAGAATGGGGAGGGAGAGTAATGTATTGAAGCTGCTCATAGCTCGTATCCTTCTGGGTAAGTAAAGCAGTAGAAACGGCTTGGAATTTAAAAGTACATATTTGATTTCACCGTAAAGGTAGATTGTTCTAAGTCTGCTTCAGCAGTGGATAAAAAACTGAAAATTATTTGTCGCATTTTAAGCTCACTTAGGATGAGGCGGGCACTTCGAACCTAGCGGTCAAAACGTGTGGTAGTTCAGGGTTTTTGTTTGCAAAAATGGAGGAATTGTCGAAGACTCCATCCCAGTTGAAGAAGGAGGCGAAGAGATTGGAGAAATTAGCAAAGTTCCAGGCCAAGCAAGAGAAGCTAGCCGATAGGAGAGACGTGAGGCTCAAGACCAAACAAGAAAGGACAGCTGTGAAATCCCTATATATCGATGCACCAATAGCTGATATAAATGGAAAGAAGGGTACTTGCTATAATTGGTTTTATTTTTGTTGTCGGTCTCTTTTGTTCACCATTACATTGTCGACCTGATTCTGATCCCTGAAAACTTGCGCAGCAATGGCTGGATTCTTTAATGTACTTAAGTCCAGCTTTTGGATGTTATCCTTTGCATTTCATTAATGTTTTCGATCTTTTTGCAAACTTACCGTGGCTGGGCCTGTAGTATTCTGTAATACCTTGCAACCATTTTGTAGATGTCTCGGGTAAAATGCCTGAATCCTATTCCCCGAAGTACGTTGAGGCCTTGTGGTACGACTGGTGGGAGAAATCTGGATTCTTTACTCCCGAATACTGGGTTCGTTTGCTATAACTTTTCTCTGCCTGAATTACTAACCCCACGATCTTCACAATCTTGGATCTTTCTTTTCCAAGAAGATTGGTATATTCAGCTGCCAGTCCTACTGACTGCCTGTGCTCTCTTGACTTTGGAGGCTCTCGGAATGCACAATTAATTTTAACGTATGCTCTGTGCTCTTTCATTTCGTGTATAAGTGCTTTAGGGATTGCGTATGCATGGGGCGTTTGGATTCTGCATATTTCACAACATTCAATAGGCACTCTTCATCTAAGTCGGTGGTTTTATATGCCTGCTCACTTATTCCATGTCCTGCTATGCTCAT